CTTGTGAGTTACTCCTGGCTCACCACTCAGGAATAACTCCTGGGGGGTACTTGAGCGATCACATGGGGTACTGGGGATCGATGCATGAAAGGCCAATGCCCTACCTGCTGTACTGTCTTTCTGACCCCTGAACGTTTTTTAAACTATAAATATTATATTTTCCCCAGATGAGTATTCTAAATGTAATATCTATTTCTCCCCTTTATGCAGCAACACAGTTTGTGATAGCTCATTGACTAGTGTTAAATTAATTCCATAGTTTTATTATAAGGTGACATAAAAACAAATTAACTTCTTCTAAAAATATATTTGCCTCTAAATGTAGGAGCACTATGAATCCCAGATAAGAAATGCAGACTATGGCAATTAAACTCATGTTGACTCAAGTGTTATGAGTACTGAGATGTTTCAAAACTGAACACTTGATAAAAATCTGGTTGATCATAACAAATGTAAACCTTTTTCTGAACTTACTGTGCAGTAACCATCCCAGAGAGTCAGTACATAATAAAACTGGACAAATAATGCCGTATATCTATGTATGTAAAACAAAATTGTAATAAAAATATCCTTCATTAATGCAGTATTCTACAAATTCACTGAGTAGTGGAACAATTCTTCCGTGTGTAGATTAAGAGAATACCGTCTCCTACTCACTAAATGCCAGTAAATGTCCAAAGATTGTGACAACTGATACCCTCTCTAATTTCGAAATCTTTCCCTGTGAAGCAGTAACATTCCCATTGAAACCATTGTGTTCAGCATACATTCTCATAAAATAAGTCTTTGCAACAAGAATCTGCAAAATGAACCTTGTGTTTGTATACTGTCAGAGCATCTTGACATCTATGTTGTGGGACTTTTGAGTACCAGTGTTCAGCTGGGCACTTCTATGTTTTCCAGACTTTAGTTTGAATATCACAGTACCCTATTGCCTTCTCTTTCACTTTTTGCCCATTTTTCTATTCAACTATTTTCTCATAAATTTGAATACTTGTCAGTTGGTTGTGATTTGGAAAATCAAGAACCAAATAATCTAAGAAACACAGAATCTCAGAATAGAAACTGAACACACCGATCTCTATCCAGCATTTTCTTACCATGTTCTTATTTATCATATTCTTATGATATTGTCATTGCCTTTTATTGTTTTTTTTTTATTTTGGTGACATACAACTGCCCATGTCCCCCCCCTTCAGACCCAAGAGGGGTCATCAATAAGAATTCCATATTTATCTATTCTTAGAGAAAGGTTTTATTTACTGTATTGTTTGATATTTTCACTTTTTTTATTCCCATTTATTTTTTTTTACTGAGGTAATACAGTTTCCAACAGTTTCCATATTACTGTTTTATTGCAATACTATTTTTTAAATTGAATCACCATGAGATACAGTTATAAGCTTTCATGTTTGAGTTACAATTATACAATGTTCAAAAACCTATCCTTCCACCAGTGCACATTCCCCACCACCAATCTCCCCGGTATACCCCCCCACCTTCCCCCTGCCTCTATGGCAGACAATTTCTCCCATATTCTCTCTCTACTTTTGGGTAATATGTTTTGCAATACAGATACTGAAAGGTCATCATGTTTGTTCCTTTATCTACTTTGAGCACATATCTCCCATCCTGATGGATCCTTCCAACCATCATTATCTTAGTGATCATTTCTCTACTCCAGATGCCTTCACCCCCAGCTCATGATTCAGGTTTCCAACTATGGAGCAATATTCCTGGCCCTTGTGTCTACTGTCCTTGGGTGTCTGTCTCATGTTATGTAACTTCATATTCCACAAATGCGTGCAGTCCTTCTATGTCTGTCCCTCTCTTTCTGACTCATTTCACTTAGCATGTCTATCTTATAAGCAAATTTCATGACTTTATCTCTCCTAACAGCTATATTGCAGTACTTTTGCACTGCCACCACCACCAGTATGCCAGTAATCCCACAAACACTGTCCCACGGTCCCTTTTCTAGGCCTCCCTCCAATTCACCCTAACTTTGCAGCCTCAGCTTTCTGGTCTATGTGTGTATTTAAGTTTTTACTTTTTTCATACAGAACTTTCCAAGGCTAAATCTTCAGAAGCCATTTTGGAACAATCCATGTTGCCTGGAACCAGATCTTGAAGATAAAAAAAGAAAAACATGTAAAGCAACAACAGAGACAGTTTTATCTTTTCCTCTTCTTGCAGCAAGATCTGTTGAAAGAATAGGAGTGGAGGGATTGGGGGTCTTCCATTAAAGTTATGGAAAAATACTATACCACAGCACATTTTATGATACAGGTCCCTCATTTTCAATCCTTCTGATCTACCTATTATCCTTTCTAAGTCAGAAAAAGGACATTTGGTGTAATGGTTGAGTTGTGAGTGATAAACTGTGTGTAGATTAGGGAGAGAATGCATAGACAGCAATTGACTTAACTAGATGTGCATCCCTGCACGCATTATGTCTGCAATCCAAATCAAACCCTTAGCAGGCTAGATTCTTTAATATAAATGAGAAATAGGCTTTATCCTGCCATAATGACCTGCAGCTTCTTAGACATGACTCTCCACAGACCGATCACTCTAGGAGAAGGTTGGCCAGCTCACTGAAGCCATTATATTTTATTTATGCAGATCAGATTGTGACAATCTTTGGAATTCTTTGTTTTAGATTTCCCCCCCCCTAAACCCTCCTGATATGTTCCTTTCTTTCTGTTTCTGTATAGGCAACTCCCCAAACAAGCATTTTCATGGCTTTCCAAGTCACTGAATGAAAATAATAGAGTATAATTTGGTTAGCTTGTATTATTCCACAAAGAAAAGAAAACTGTTTTAATTTTGGAGGCTACTATTAAAGGAAGAGGGAACCATTCCTTAATTTTTTTAAGCCACATGGGGAGTTACGTACTGTGCCAACATACTAACCAGCATCAAATCCCAATAGTTTGTACTCTCATTATTTAACATGCCCTCTGGAGTTTTGGACATGGCTCAGGAAAAAAAAAATTTAAACAAATTTCTTACGTATGACCCTAATTTCAATGGATGTGCTTAAGGAAAAAAAAAAACCTTTGCTTTCTTCCTTTTACATTTCCCATTAGTCAATATTAGCTACATATTCATGGGTGAGAATTTAAATAGCGCACATCTTGTTATAAAACATACCAGGGCAGTTCTTTTAATGGGTGTGCTTCTGGTATCATTCCCTCTTGGGGGGGCCAAGGGGAAAATGTTCAACAGCAGGAGTTGAAAGAAAAGAGAATATTACTTTTGAGCATGGCAGTTTAGTCTCCATTGCATATTACAATTTTTTTTTCCTGTAGTGCAGTTCTTTCTAGCTTTTATCTGAACCAGATAGCAAGACAAGAGCCCATTGAGACATCAGGCAACAACCATTGTAGGAAAAATTTTCCCAGTAGATTCGAGGTTAGTGCTGAATTCAGCTGACATCCTCAGGGCTTTCAGTGCTGCATTTAATCCACAAGTATTTTGTTGAATGCTAATTATTTTTTTTTAGTTACTTTGCTAGATTTTGCGACACATATAAAAAAAAGAATCAAAGAGATTTCTAGTTTATTCATTCATTTGATAAATATGTGTTCCCTACTGGCAAAACAATAAGGGGCTAGACCCAGAGGTATTTTCAGTCTGGTGTGGAAGACAATATAAGTAAGTGAGCTGATGTTGGAGAAGCAGAGAAATTATGTGATCATACTAGCACAGGTACTGAATACAATGAGAATGTAAGACCCAGAGTGCTAATTTAGTGTGCGTGCCTGCGAGCCTTTGCCAAAATTTCCATGAAGGAATGAAGTTTATGTTGAGAGAAGACACATGAGCCCAAGATAGATGGATTTTTATGTGGGGATGGGAGACGGGTAGGAATGGAGAGTCTTCCAGGAAGATGGAACATGGGTTGTGTGAAGGGCAACAATGAGGAAGCCCAAAGAAAGTTGATGGGCAAAACTACCTGGTTCTCATTCACATAGTATATGGAGGGCTGTTCTTCAGTGGCCAGGAGTGCTTATCTTCAGTACTTGGTAGGGGTGAGTTGCATCAGGAGTAACACATTCCCTGTCATTCACATCTCACCAAGAATAATGAGGGAGGTCCTCCCAAGCCCCCAGCCTCATACTCTTTCCATGCCCCAACAGATGAGTGGGGAGGGGCAAGAGGACAATGCACATCAGGCAGATTGTTTGGGATAGAGGTAATACAAAGAACTAGCAACTCATAAAATATTAATTGATGATAAGAGCAAAATGTGTCTCCACAACCAAGGAATTAATTGAGTCCTGAGAGTGAACACGGATTGTATTTCAGTCTTCTTATCAGTCATTATTAATAGCTAGCTAGGAATGAATTTTTAGCGGCTTATTGAAGGCAGGGAATTACGAAGTAGAGTTGGGTGCAGATAACTTACTTCAGTACTAGAAATGAGATGGCACTAAATTGTAGAGACAGATAGGGAGCAAGTGTTAGAAGACCTGGGCAATTGGAGGCTGCATGAGGGTCAGGTTGGACGGTGGGAGTCTGGCTAAGCGTTTTAACCACTTCTCCCATTCATCATCTGACCCTCCAAGACCACATGGAGTATTGTTATTTCCCAAGTATGAAGTTTGTCATGGTCTCTTTTACTATGGCCATTGAGAAGTTATTTTGTACCTTGATCATGAAAATTGTAGCATTAGTTGAAGATGAGGTGTTTCAGAATTTTTCTGGGTGTATTTTACCTAAATTCCTCTGAAAATAATTTTATTATAATTGTCAAGGGATATTGTACTAAATTATACTGCATCAACATCACATTTGTAGTTTGGGGGGTATTTATGCTTTTATTCTTATTTTTGTGGGGGAAAGGCACACACCCAACAATGCTCAGGGCTTACTTCTGTATCTGCACTCAAGAGTCATACCTGGTAGGGATTGGGGGAACATATGGGGTGCTGACAGGTTGAACCTGAGTCAGCTGCATGCAAGGCAAGTGCTGTACTATAGCTCTGGCTCCTATGTTTCTATTCTTACAAAAAACCATTATAATCAATTTTACCTCTATCATTGGTCTGACTGAGACAAGAAGGCACGAATCTCACCATGCCATTTTCGACACTGGAGAAGAATTGTTCCTCGGAACATGCGATAAAAGAGGTGTTGGAGGCGTCGGTGTCCTTGTCAACACAAACTTGGCCAAGAGCATTGATTCATTCGAATGCCTAACAACCCGAATTGGACGTTTACATTTGAATAGATGTGGCTCACTGCCTGCAGTTTCTATCTTCGTTGTCTACGCACCAACATCTCATTATGATGAAAGAGAAATCGAGAAGTTCTACATTGAGCTAGAGAAGTTCTATAAAGAAGACCACACCTTCTACAAGATCATTGTGGGTGATTTTAATGCCAAGATAGGACCGAGAAGATCAGCTGAAGAACTTCACATCGGAACCCATGGCCTAGAATGGAACGAACAGGGTGAGAGACTGTCTGAGTTCATCATGTCGACCAAGACCATTCATGGTAACTCACAGTTCCAGAAGGCAGAATCTAAACGATGGACATGGGAGTCTCCCGGTGGACGATTCCACAATGAAATAGACCACATCATATTCAATCTACGGTTTTGCCTGACTGATGTCGCTGTTGTCCCAAAATTTCGAACGGGATCGGACCACCGTCTCCTTCGTGCAAAATTCTACTTCAAAGAGCGGGGAGAAAGGGCTGCAAAGTTCAAAAAGAGAACTCCCACCAACTGGGAACTCTTTGGTACTATTGTGGCAACATGGGAAGATGCCATTGTTGACAACATTGACGAGGAATACGATCGACTGGTTCAGCACCTCCATGAATGTGCGAGGAACGCCAAGAGAGAGATAGCCACAAAAAATTGCCTATCTTCGAAAACTCTTGAGCTAATTCGCCAGCGTGGTTTGGCGCATGCCTCAGGCAACCGCAAGCTAATGTCCGAGCTCGCAAAGCAGTGCAGAGATGCGATCAAGGAAGACCTCAAAGAGAGAAGAGCAGAAGTACTGGTAGATGCGGCAGAAGCTGGGAAAAGTATTCGTAACGCCCGCCTGTCCTTCGCCAACTACAAGACCAAGATGACTGCCCTCCGATGTCCTGATGGATCCATCACATCCTCCAGAACGGCAATGGAGAAGATTATCCATGACTTCTACTCAAATCTCTTCGATAGCCATGTCCACTTGCCGACATACCAAATTCCACAGGATGGGTATGTCGTTCCCAACGTTCTCCCTTCCGAAATCCGAAATCCGACACGCCATTTTGTCGGTAAAGAAACAAACTGCACCCGGCCCAGACAAGGTCAGACCTGAACACCTGAAGAACCTGCCGTCAGTACTCATCAATACACTGGCTCAGCTCTTCACTCGCTACCTGTCTGAATGCAAGGTTCCGTCCCAGTGGAAAACCAGCAGGACCGTACTACTGTTCAAGAAGGGAGACATCCATGACATTGGCAACTATCGCCCGATCTGCCTATTGTCTGTCATCTACAAGTTGTTCACTCGAGTCATCCTAAATAGGATTGGCAGAACACTAGATGAAGGACAACCATGCGAGCAAGCAGGTTTCCGCAAAGGATTCGGCACCATCGACCATATCCACACGATAACCAAGCTCATTGAGGTTTCTCGGGAGTTCAAGATGCCACTCTGTTTAACATTCATTGATTTAAAGAAGGCCTTTGATTCTGTTGAGACGGAAGTGGTCATTGAAGCCCTAGCCAATCAGGGAATTCAAGCCCAATACATCAGGATCCTCCGTGAGCTGTATTGCGGATTCACTACCAGGATCTCACCATTCTACAAAGAAGTGATCCTTGATGTCAAGAGAGGGGTGCGGCAGGGTGATACCACTTCACTGAAACTCTTCAGTGCCACCCTCAAGAACATCATGCGACGACTGGAATGGGAAGGAATGGGAGTGAAGATAGATGGTTGGCAACTACACCACCTCCGCTTTGCTGATGACATTGTTTTAATAACACCAAACATCAGCCAAGCGGCACAAATGCTGGCCGACTTTGACCATGAGTGTGGAAAGGTAGGACTACAGCTGAATCTTACGAAGACAATGTTTATGAGAAACAGCCTCGTTCCTGATGCCCCATTCGCTCTCAACGGAACGACCATCTCCGAATGCAACAGTTATGTGTACCTAGGTTGAGAGGTCAACATGACAAATGACCTGGCACCTGAGCTGCGCAGGAGGAAGAGAGCAGCTTGGAATGCCTTCAAGAACGTCGAAGAAATAGCTAAGAGGACGAAGAACCTCCGGCTCCGGGCACATCTCTTTGATTCCACTGTTCTTCCTGCATTAACATATGCCTCAGAGACCTGGGCCCTATGCAAACAAGATGAGAACGCTATTCAGGTCTCCCAAAGAAGAATAGAAAGAGCTATGCTTGGAATATCACGTTTCACTCAAATGAGAGAAAGAATCCGGAGTTCTGACATCCGACATCCGTCGACGATCAAGAATCAGGGATGCTGTCTTATTTGCCAAGGTGTCGAAAATCAGATGGGCTGGTCATGTAATGAGATTTAAAGATGACCGCTGGACTAGAGCTGTTACCGACTGGATTCCACGGGATGTCAAAAGACCGCGTGACCGTCCACCTACCAGATGGTCAGACTTCTTCGTCAAGATCATGAACGATCAGTTTGAGGCCCTTCATGTTCCCGGAGTGAACAGATGCCATTGGGCTACACTAGCATGTGACAGGGACAAATGGAGATGTTACTGGCGCCCGCTCGAGCAAATTGACGACTAAGGGGAAGTTAAGTGATTACCTCTATAAAAGTTTTGATTATAAGATGAAATTTGCATTTCTGATGGATCTGAAATTTTATTTCATTCTTGAAATAAGGAAACAATAAAAGGCAAATTTGACTACATTCACACATAAAACTTATAGCAAAAATCAGCAATGCAAAGTAGAGGTCCTAGGAACTCATAACTAAAAGTAGTTGGGTGATTTCAGAAATCAAAGGGGGAAATATACAGTAAAATAATAATGAAATCGTTGTCCTGAACTCCTCTAAACTGTGAACAGATTGCTTAAGCAGAACCTGTCATCCTGGCATGACAGTGGCTTTGACAAATCAAAGCTACATTTAAGATGCTTATCTTTGTTTTGATGTCAACTGAACCGACCATCCAATCTGATTTTTTTTTCTGTTTCAGCAGCAGTGGTCCTGCTTCATAAGGCACTTCTTGAGAATGAAGTCTTTATTTATGGCATTCTGGGTAAGGCAAGCTCCCTTGCTCACGTGTGTGAGAAACTATAATGCATCTTTCACATTTAAAGTGCCCTCTGAAGCTTTCTGCTTCACAACCTTGCCTTCTTTGCCCGTTCCCTCTAAATTTTTCATGCCTTCTTGAGTATCTCTCAAAGAATTGCAAATTCTCGCAGGCACATGTTTAATTTAGCACGTGGCCTCCTCCGATGGAGCCGAGCACTCTGCCGTCCATCCTCCTTACACAGGGCTACCTCAGCTCTCCACACTTAGCAGGAAAAATGAATTAAGGCAAAAGCCCAGGTTTGCTCAGATGTGCTGTTGGAAAATGAATTTTTACTGGTGGTGCTGCAAAGTCAAATGTGTGCTTTTGCAAAAGTGAAATTGCAATATATAGTTGGTGTTATTTTACCCGTGAAGCTCAGTCGCCCCATTTCCTTCTCTCAGTTTGCCAGGGCGATATTTATTATTCTTTATTTGGAGGTGAAAGGCAAAACCCAGAGATATTTTCCCTCCTTAAAGACTCCTTACCTTTATTTCATTCATGTTTCTAGCACCTTCTCTATTTATTTCATCAACTAACATTTTCTCTGAGAAGGTCATCCCCCTTCACTGTTGAAAGAAGAGATATAGGTATTTTCCCTTGTCGGAAATTAGGAAACTTAACTTACCTGCGCTGTGAAGGCCACTGCCCCTGAAGTTGCAGATGGCTCTCAGTGATGCCATCAAAGGAACCTGTCCCAGAATATCTTTTAGAAAAAAGCCTATCTAATCCAAGGCTTTGTAGGAGGAAGGACAGTGGGAAATATAAACCTCCTTTAAAAAATTTTTTAATTTTATAAGGTAGTTCACTTTCACAGGCTGGAGTGATAACACAGCAGGTAAGGCGTTTGCCTTGTACATGGCCGACCCGGGTTTGATTCTTCCATACATCTTGGAGAGCCCAGAAAGCTACTGAGAGTATCCTGCCCGCACACCAAAGCCTGGCAAGCTCCCTGTGACATACTCAATATGCCAAGAACAGTATCAACAAGTCTCACAATGGAGGTTTTAATGGTGCCCCCTTGAGCAAATCGATGAGCAATGGGAGGACTGTACTACAGTGCTGTGCTAAAGTAGTTCACAACATTTGATTACATTTAATCTTCAAACACCAATCCTACCACCATTACACCTTCCCACCACCATATTTTGGGTGTTTCCATGCCGAATCCCAATCCCTGCCCCAAAGAAGAACTGAAATAATATAATATTTACCTTTAAGGTTGGTTGCCTCCTACTTTGAATCCCATCAAATGTGGTGTGGTACTCTTAGACTATGGGTAGGTTGTGTCCTATGAAGTGTTGCAAGGCTGAATTTGTGGGTCTGGGAAAAGGTTTTCTAGTGGATGAGGTTTGGCCTGAGCATGTGGAGAGCGGCTGTGAGCAGGGTGGGAATTGAGTTCTGGAAAACCTTATTTGGATAGTATTTCAAATCCTCATTCGAATATTCCACCTGTAGTTAAATTGCCTGCTTGTTTAAATATAATTTGTGTAAAGAGACATAATTACCAAGCACCATGTGCTTACCTGGCATATTTTTAATTTTTATTTTATTTTAATTAATTAATTGTTTTTTGCTTTTTGGGTCAAACCTGGCGATGCACAGGGAATAATCCTGGCTCTGCACTCAGGAAGTACTCCTGGTGGTGCTTGGGGGACCATATGGGATGTTGGGAATAGAACCCAGGTCAGCTGCGTGCAAGGCAAATGCCCTCCCCTCTATGCTATTGCTCCTGCCGCTACTTGGCATGTTTTAGACCTCAATTCATGTTTATGATAACACTGAAGATGAGGAGAAGAATGTGGAAGCTATGGAGGATAAAATGCAGTCTCTCAAAATATTGCCAAATAGCCATTGATGAAAGACCATTCTTTATATTACAGGGAAGAAATGCCTGATGTCTCTCTGGAGACATGTGCTCTTAGCAATGGGTATGGGAATATCAGGAAATTGGCTCTGAGGCTGATATTCCAAACTGGGAGCATAACAGGTATCGAGAGAGTTGGGAGATTAAAAGTATGGCAATGTGGGAAGAGATTCTCAATGGGAAGAGTATGGTATAGGTGTGGATGCAATGCCCCAAGATTAATGCTTGTAGAATAGTGATAAGAAAAAAAATTACTTGAAACTAAACATAGAAATGAATAGTTTCTCCTGAGTGTACCAAGTATGAATTCACAGAACGTCTGAGATGAGAACAAGGAAGGATATTTTTCACCTAGAGAATTTTTATAGGGGTAGCAATGAATTTGTATAATGCTTTGGGGATCAGATGATTATTTTGGCTTCTTTCAAGCCACAAATATGAAAATTTTTTCCATTTCCAAGTGTTTTTGACAACAGAAAGCCATTTTTTTTTCTGTGTATATTGTTGTTGTTGTTGTTATTGGGTTGGGGGGGGGGT